CCCGCGGGGACGGCCACAGGGACAGCATCCCCGGCCAGCCGGCAGCAGAATGGGGTGCAGGGCCGGCAGTACTACGAGGTCCATCTCACCCTGGCCAAGCCCAAGCCGGTGAAGAACCGGACGGCCAGACCCTTCGGCACCCAGGCGTCCCCTGCCAGCGGCCAGCCCGCAGAGGGCCCCCCCGCTGCCGAGCTGCCCCCACCACCCACCTATGCGGAGACCCTGAGCAGCCCCCCGCCACTCACCCGTGTCCGCTCACCCCCCTCCTACTCGGCCCTGTACCCACCCTCAGAGCAGAAGATGCTGCCAGGTCCCCCCCAGGGCTGCGGGGTGAGTGGACCGAACCCCCTGCCCAAAACGGGGATCCTGGAGGAGTCGGCCGCCCGGAGAGCTGGCAAAAAGTCCATGTTCACCTTCGTTGAGAAGCCAAAGCTGGGCCCCAACCCCGACCTGCTGGACCTGGTCCAGAGCGCAGACAGCAGGAAGAAGCAGAAGGAGCAGGGGGAGCCCGGTGCTGAGGACGAGCCCTTCGCCCTCGGGGCTGAAGCCGCCAACTTTGTCCCCAACAGCGCGGCCAGGGATGGGCAGAACCTTCTGCCAGCCGATGATGCTCCCGCGTGGTCCTCCTGCCTCAAGTCCCCCACCATCCAGCCCAAGCCGAAGCCACAGCCCAGCCACAACCTCAGCGAAGCGAGAGGGAAGGGGGCCGAGCTCTTTGCCCGCCGGCAGTCCAGGATGGAGAAGTTCATCATCGAGGCTCCCTCCCAGCCCAAGCTGCTGCGGTCCCCGTCGCCCACCATGTCCCTGCCTCCCTCCTGGAAGTACGATGCCAGCGCTTGCCTGTCGCCCATGGTCTCCAGACACCCCTCCAAGAGTCCCTCCAGGCCCTCCAAAACCCCTCCGGCATCTCTGTACGGCAGCAACCTGATGGAGAACGAGGTCTCCCAGAAGGAGCTAGAGATTTCCAAGCACCAGCCCTACCAGCTCCAGTCTTCGCTCTTCATCCTCTCCCCATCCAAGGGGCCAGCGAGGTCCATACCCCAGGAGATGCCTCCACCCAGACCCTCTCTTCCTGACGCCTACCCTTACCCCCAGCAAACCTCCTGCCCGACCTCTCCATTGCCTCCTTCCCCCATTTGGCATGCTCCTGCTGTGCCCGGCGCCGGCCAGACAACCTCCAGCCCCTTCCCCGGTGCCACTGGGGGTCTGCCCCTGACTCACGGCAGCCGTGCCAGTCCCGGAGCCCCGACCGAGGTGCTGCTGGCCTCCCCGTGCCGCCTGCTGCCGCCCCGAGTGAAGGGGGGCTTCCAGGCACCCCGGCCCTCCTACTCCACCAGGAATGCCGGCATCGAGCCGCAGGTGTGGAAACCTTCTTTTTACTACAAGTAGCGGTGGCGGAGAGAAAAACTCGGGGGTTTTAGGCTTCCCTCCACCAGCCGAATCCTCCCTAACTGCTCACGGGTGTGCCAAAAGCCGAACCAACCACAAAAAAGGGGGGAAAAAGAAAAGGAAATAGAAAAAAGAAGTAGCTGGGAGGCTGCAGTGCCGGGACCGTGGGTGAGACAGGCGCTGCTGAGCCCCCAGTGTAATGGGAGCCAAGGGGTCCCGGGGAGGCGGCAGGAGTCGGGGCCATAGAGCCCGTGGGATCCCAAAGAGCCGTCGGGAGCCTGCCCGTCCCGCAGGACTGCTAGCACTTTCTTCTCTCACCTGGACACTGTATGGAGCATCGCACCTCTGGCTCTGTCCTTTTCTCGCCTCCTGCCTTTCTAGCTCTCGCAGCCGGCAGCTGCCAGCTCTGCCTGCTCACCCGCAGCCCCTCTGTCCTGCCGGCTCCTATCGGCCTCCTACCAAAGCAAATGCAGAGGGGACACACCACCTTTCCGCCTCACTGTGCCTGCTCCTGTCTCTTCTACTGCTCCTTCAGGATCTGTCCTTGTTTGCTTCCATGCCACGGAGGAGAGCCACATCCCTGGGGGAATGGCAGAGCCCCACGGTGCTGGGGACACCGCGGGGTCCCTGTCCCTCCCCACGCTCGGTGCTGGAGCTGGGAACGGGCAGCGCTGCTTGGCACGGCCGGGAGCCAGGGATGTGCCAGGCAGAGGAGGCAGGCGAGGGCAGGGCCAGCTCAGCGATGCTCAGCCTGATGCTCGTGGTCCAGCCATGCCTCTGCCTGTCCCTTGCTCCCGCCGCTCTCCCCGTGGTAACGAGTTGCCTTTTGACTGTGCTTTTATTTCTTCCTGCGTTTTTCTTTTTTTTTCCCCCTCTTTCTGAATACACTCTCTGCGCTGTCAGACCTGGCTCTTCTCTTTCCTGCTGGCTGGGGAGCAGCTGCCGGGCGACGGACACCCGGGGCGGCGCAGGGGGTTCTCCGTGCGTCACCTGGAGGGAGCCTTTAGGAAGCAGCAGGTAGTGAGAGGTCCTGGGTCATATTTTGGGCAAGGTTGATTAACTGCAGGCTCAGCCTGCCCCGACCTCCTTGGCTGGTGAGGGGGTGCAGAGGCAAATGCATTTTTGGGGAGCCCTCGCAGGGGGTGCAATGCACGAAGATGCATCCCCAGTTCGTGCAGGGCTGAGCCAGCACGGAGCTTGCCCCAGCACCAATCCTGCCCCTGTCCCTCTGCTCTGCCCCCTTCATCCCCCCGAACGGTGCTGGCACTAACCCGCTCTCTGTCCCCCTCCAGGAAAGGCGGCCGTCCCTCCCCGCCTCACCTACCTGGACGCCCCGGCTGGCGCGGTGCCCGGGCAGCCTGGACGGCTGGGCCAGCCCGGCCTCAGTGCCTGAGCTGGACGAGGGACCCCCCACGTCCCCTCCATGGAGCGAGAGGTCCCTGTCCCCGCTGCGGCAGGACGCTGACGCCCAGGCCAGCCGGCAGATGCAAGCGCGGCTCGCCAGGAACATCATCAACGCTGCCCGGAGAAAGAGCTCCTCTCCCAAAGCTGTGGGGCCGGAGGGCTCCCGGCCCTTCACCCCCATCCCCGCCGGCCCCCCCAGCCTGCCCCAGTCCCCCAGGCCGGCGCGTCCGGAGAGCTCCAGAGGTCCGGCACAACCCACACCACAGGCTGCCAGCAGCGTGGAGCCTGGGCAGCCCCGCGCCCTCCCACAAAAGCCCCCTGCGAACGCCCCGGGCGGATGGCCCCCAATTGTGCTTCCCCCCCGGGATGCCCCGAGCCGCCTGGGCAGAGGGTCGCCAGCTCCTGCTGCCAGCCAGTGTGTTTTTTTTTCCCAACAGCCCCCTGCCATCCCCCGTGGTGGGCGGGCGGTCCCCGGCCAAGCGCTGCACCTCCCGGTCCCCGACGGACTCGGACATCTCCCTTGACTCCGAAGACTCGGGGGCCAAGAGCCCGGGCATCCACAGCTTCAACCTCTGCCCCCGGGGCTGGACCGGCAGCCTGCGGCTGAAGCCAGGGGGGCTGCCCTCAGGGGCCCCCTGCACCTCCTAGATGAGCCAGTCCCGGCCAGGCCACCCTCTCCCCAGTCCCGCCAGCCTGGGCGATGCCACCCACTGACCCCTGCAACGGGAACACCCCACCCTCAGGGCTGAGGTCCCCAAAAACTGGCGTCCCCACTCCCCAGTGGAGCTGCCGCAGCCCCTCGGCATGCCGGCGGGGTCAGGTGCCTCCCGCCTGCCTGCCATCGCACGGCCCCACTCTATTTTTACCACCCTAACCTTTCGGGGCAGGACTGCGTGGTCAGCAGGCAGAGCAGGCAGCAGGGGGGAGCCAGCCCCCAGCACAGCCCCCTCCCTCCACAGCCCTGCACCACGCAGCAGGGATGGGGACGGGCTCAGTGGTCCCCTGCAAGCCCCCCGTCCCCAGCGCTGGGGTGTTACGGACCCTGGCACCCTGCAGCTCTGCTTTCCCTGCTGGCATGGCCAGTGCCGCTGCCTGTGGGGTCATGGCGTACCCGGCAGTGCCGAGCAGGTGCCGTGGCCAGGGCACCCTCTCCCACCCTCCAGATCTGGCTGGTTTCAATTGAAACCAGATTTGGGAGAGGAAAAGTTAATTTTTTTACTCCAGCCTCCAGCCCCCCAGTTCTTCATTGGCGTCTTTTCTTACTTTTGACCCCTTCTCAAAGAAATTCCCCCAAATCCTTCCCCGGTGACCAAAAAGAGAGCCAAAGTTATTTATTGCCACGTCAAGGGGACCATTTACAGGTGCCCTCCTGCCCTGCCCAGGCAAAGAGGGACAGCCCCATCCTGTACCCTGTCACTGTCCCCATCCCCGGGCTCATCCCATCCCTGTCCACAACCCTGCGGGATGGAGGGACGCAGGGGGACCAGCGGGCTCTGTGGCAGCCAGGGTGGGTGGGAGGAGTTGGGGGGCTGGGGAGGG